AAAAATGACATAAAATGCAACCTGAATAGACAAATGCACAAATAAGAGGTCTGAAACACAACCACATGTCGTCTAGGGCAATGTTATAAACTATCATTTTTAATTCACGCAAGTAACCTGTTAAGCATACGCGAAGTCGAGCAAGCGAGCATAAAAGTGACCCTGGACCACAAAACCAGTCATAAGGGTCAATTTTTTGAAATTGAGATTTATACATCATCTGAAAGCTGAATAAATAAGCATTCAATTGATGTATGGTTTCTTAGGATTGGACAATATTTGGCCGAGATACAACTATTTGAAAATCTGGAATCTGAGGGTGCAAAAAAATCTAAATACTGAGAAAATCGCCTTTAAAGATGTCCAAATTAAGTTCTTAGCAATGCATATTACTAATCAAAAATTAAGTTTTGACATATTTACGGTAGGAAACTTACAAAATATCTTCATGGAACATGATCTTTACTTAATATCCTAATGATTTTTGGCATAAAAGAAAAATCGATAATCACAAATCAATATTTCATTTCCATTCATTTGGCTGAATAATAAGCAAGATAATGTAGAGTCAGCATTATAACAACCTCTTCACCCTGTTTATTTTTCTGATGATACCTGCTGTACATAATGCTCACATAAACCTTAGGAAATACAGGCTGCACCAGTCTGTTGTGGTCATGGAGAGGAAGTAACCAAGTTACAAAATGCAATGGCTGACTTAAAGGAAGGAGATTTTTTCCTGGGTCAACCTATATATTATAGAATGTCGTTAAGTAGTACATTTTGGGGAAAATTCAGAAGGAACAAAGAGAAGGAACCAACTTGGTTAATTGAAATGCTGCCTTTCAAGGTTAGAGTGTTTCAGCCATGTTTTCAAGCTAATCCTTCATACAGAATATGAAGAAGAATCAAGAAAAGAACAGGGTGCCTACTTTTATCAGCGGCCTTGTTTTAAGAAGTATTTTACCTATTCATTTTTCATGTAGAGATTTAAAAAAAAAAAACGAATTAAAGAGTTGTAAGTCATGAACCAAACCTATCTGCTACAAGATGGATCATATCATTACAAACTTCGATTTTTTGAAAATTGGACAATAACGCAAATAAAGCCGTGTGCTTGAACTACAATCCATTGTGCATTGCAAGAGACAATGAAGAAATATTGAACAATTCATTTAAAGATGTTGATTTATATGTGTATGTATTAACATAGTTTAAGAGCGTAGGGAAACTCATTTGCAGTGCTTATTGTCACTAAAGTGTTTTTTGCTGCAATTTGCTTTTTTCAGTTCTCTGACTGGTAGAGATATCTTTGTAGAATCATGAGTAAAGTAATTTTTCACTAGGAATTCCTGTGATGGATGGTTATTTAAAAAATAAGTCAAAACAATGTGGGCTGCTGTCTTCAACAAAAGCATATACCATCGAATAACAACGTTGAAAATCAGTTACCCTATAGAGAAAATGAATGTGATTTTTACTTCTGGGACCCAACTGTTGCACTCTATTTTGATAGAAAAGTTCATCATCTCCTAACTGTAGGCGGCTACGTGTCACAGCATGAAGACACATATTAACACACAGACACTCACCAGTCCCAGCAGGTTCCAGGGATGTGTGCGACTGAATGTGGAAAACACAGCAAGACATGTGCCCACTACTGCAAAGATAATGTAAGAACTGAGGTACACCCAGATGTTACTCTGAACCGCTGCCTTGACTGTGTTTGAGAAGGTGAACACACAGACGACAGTGAACGTGGCTAGTAACTGAATTGTTACCACACTGAACACCTGCGTGGGTAGAGAGAGATTGGAAATGACAAAGAGGACCAGCATTTAGAGCAATCATAATATTTACGATGGCATGCAAATCACAGAAATGCTCACCTTTCTGATAAACGCTTTCCGAACAGTATCATCCTCAAATGATGACACAAACATCTGACATTCCTCAGGTGGAAATACAGCTATTAAAAAAGATAAATATTATTACTGTGATGACATTCATGTCATTCGATGGTTATTTTGGTTTTGTCGTAATTTTAAGTAAATGTTAGATGGATAATTCAGTGAAATAAAACACCTGCTGGGTCTGGATTCGGTTCTTCTGTTTTGCTGATGCCGGTCTCTTCTGGCGGCAGGTTGGGTGGGATGAAGCTGACTGGCACAGGAACGGGTTGAGGGTACATGACAGGCCCCGTAGGATAAGGAGGAGGCATGTATGGCGGTGGGGCATACATTGGTGCTGTCGCTGCATGGCTAGGGTCATTCTCAGGCGCAGGTTTTTGGCTCTCTATATCCGTCATCCTAAACAAGATGTGGTTAGTTGAGATTGCATTGTCAGAATGTCAAAACAACAGGAAAAGATGTTTCCACTTTGGGGTGGACTTTTATGAGTCAAAGAAAAAAAACATGTAGAAAAAGCATCACAGTGCACAGGAAATGGTAGGGTCTGCAATGTTTGTTTGCTATTGTGGGGTTTGTTATAGTTCCATATCTTATATTTAACTTATAGGTGAAGATAGAAATAAATTGAAAATGATCCTGAGAGTACTGATATAAGATATATTGATAAAAGAAACTGTGACATTTTCCAGTTTTTTTTTTAAGTTTAAGAAGGGAATAGGATCATAGTAACATTTTTACAAATTGTGACCCTGTCTGTGAAATCCAGGCTAAAGTCTCAAAATCTAATTATGAGATAAAAAGCATCAAAGTTTGATTTCAACCATTAATTTCACTATGATTTCAATCTAAACCATGGCCTTACTCAGTCAATATCAGGTTGGGTGGGATGAAGCTGACTGGCACAGGAACGGGTTGAGGGTACATGACAGGCCCCGTAGGATAAGGAGGAGGCATGTATGGCGGTGGGGCATACATTGGTGCTGTCGCTGCATGGCTAGGGTCATTCTCAGGCGCAGGTTTTTGGCTCTCTATATCCGTCATCCTAAACAAGATGTGGTTAGTTGAGATTGCATTGTCAGAATGTCAAAACAACAGGAAAAGATGTTTCCACTTTGGGGTGGACTTTTATGAGTCAAAGAAAAAAAACATGTAGAAAAAGCATCACAGTGCACAGGAAATGGTAGGGTCTGCAATGTTTGTTTGCTATTGTGGGGTTTGTTATAGTTCCATATCTTATATTTAACTTATAGGTCAAGATAGAAATAAATTGAAAATGATCCTGAGAGTACTGATATAAGATATATTGATAAAAGAAACGGTGACATTTTCCAGTTTTTTTTTTTAAGTTTAAGAAGGGAATAGGATCATAGTAACATTTTTACAAATTGTGACCCTGTCTGTGAAATCCAGGCTAAAGTCTCAAAATCTAATTATGAGATAAAAAGCATCAAAGTTTGATTTCAACCATTAATTTCACTATGATTTCAATCTAAACCATGGCCTTACTCAGTCAATATTAAATATATAAAGGTTATATATTTCACAGAATGTTCTACATCTTTATGAAGGATGATTTTATGTAGAAAACAGTAAATCACAAAAAAATTACTTTAGCTGGGTTTTCACAGGCAAAAAAAAAAAAGCTGGGTTTTCACATTTCCTTCTCAACTCAGTAAAAAAGTTTACACACAATCTGTTAGCACAGCACTTTTTTTGCAAAAGTATAATAGTACACTTTTATTAAAAGTAAATGTATCCTTAATATTTTTAGATTGGAAAAAGACAATATATATTTTTAAAAGGGTTGCATAGTGCAAGCTTTAAGACTGCATATGCTAAGCTGCACCACTTTAACATATTTGTGTATTGTTTTACTGTTCACCTAAATCTGTAGCATTGCAGTTCATTTGAATTAGAAATGCTGAGTGGATTACAAATGGGCCAAATCCTCAATTGGTTGACTAAAAGTTGATCAAAGAGACAGAGTGCAACATTCAGCGTTAAAAGCTGGCTTTTGTTCTCATTCGTATTTCAGTTGATGTTATCACTTGATTTCTAAAGGGTTTACTGATCGATTATAATTAGATCAAATTTATTTGACAGATTAGTAATTTCTTTTCTTTTCTATTTAGAACAATTGATTTCTGCATGCACAAAAATAATATTGATATTTTATAGTATCATATACATAACTAAAAAAAATAAATAAATACGTACCTTGATTCTTCTTCCCCTGTGTGGTCTGGTGTGAAGTCTGAGCTCTCAGAGATCTCAGATGTTTAATGCCTCACCTTTGTTTCACACAGACTGAAGTAGGTTCCACATCCTCCTATTACATCATTTACAAAAAACCACTCTGTGGAAAATCTGTTGTGAAGTTGTTCACACAATTGACCAAAAAGTTGCTTATTGTAAAAGTTCACACTACTGGCTTCCCTTCTGTGTCCACTTTTTGAACTGGTGCATTTTTATGACTCCACCACCATTAAATGACCACCATAAATATGCAATCTTTAAGCGGTTGTACACTTGTTTGACACACAAATAGGCAAATCCTAAAATCTTGACTAGGCAAGCTTGTGTACATTTGCAGATATAAAGCAACATGCTAGACTTCCTAGCACAGTCTTAGTATTATTGTAAAAGTTCGTTCACTTTGACGGTTTGTCTGTTGTGTGTGTATGGGGGTTTTAGCAGGGTTAACATGTTTCACAAATTCGACCACAAAATGCAAGTGCAACAAGAGCTGTCGAAATATAGGTTATACAGGATTTTGACACTTCACGGCAAACCACCAGGAACAAGTGCTTCCTTTTTAACAGAATTCAAAATGTTTACCATAAAACGAATATGAAATTAATGTGACAGTGCATTACAAAATCAATTTAGACACTTCAACCTTTTAAACAAAGGAAGTAAAGGAAACCGAGCTTCCACAATCATAAATCCATGGTCAAATTAGAATTTAACCATATAGCAGTCAATTTAAAACTAAGGTTATATTGACATAAATTTCAGTATAATATGTAATATGTACATGTAATATATTTCCATGAGCAAAGATGATCCAGAGCACAAAGACCATCACACTTAAGCATATTTATTGTAAAAAAAAATACATATAAAAACTAATTTTCAGACATACAAAAGATTTATAGGCATTGGAAACAGCATCATGGACAAACAAAAGACAAAGCCATTTTGAAATGTGATACATATTTACACTTTAATAAATAAATACTCAATTGTTCTTTAGCAGAATGAAGGCAGATTGTCTGTGTTTGGGGATGTGAATATATGCAAATCATATTGACCCAAAGAACATTCCCAACTCATTCATATTTGACCGACAACTGTCAAAACACAGGATCAAGCGGGTCAAGACCCTTAGCACTGAGTAATTACAGAACTTGCTATGGTATTTATACTGTGTATATATAATAATATTTCGAGAAAAAAACAAAACAAAACAAAGCAAACACCACCTTTGGAGTTAGCTAAGCCCCAGGTTAGTATAGTAAATATTGATATTGAGGTATGGCACCACATATGTTAAAGGGCAAAAGCTAACTTAGAGAGCTTAAAAGATTGTCAAAATACTCTGACAATACCTCCCTCCACTCCACAATGCACTACACCGACACAAAACATACATGTAACTATAAAAATGACTTTTGCCTTTGACTCACACAGACACATTTCACATTTTCAGGCATTTCTCATGTTTTCAATTGGAAAGAACCATCAGACTGTCCTGTAAAGGAAACGAGGTTAGTATAGTAAATATTGATATTGAGGTATGGCACCACATATGTTAAAGGGCAAAAGCTAACTTAGAGAGCTTAAAAGATTGTCAAAATACTCTGACAATACCTCCCTCCACTCCACAATGCACTACACCGACACAAAACATACATGTAACTGTAAAAATGACTTTTGCCTTTGACTCACACAGACACATTTCACATTTTCAGGCATTTCTCATGTTTTCAATTGGAAAGAACCGTCAGACTGTCCTGTAAAGGAAACACATTGCAATACTTTCAAAGTTAACCTCTCAGCTGAGAAAAGCAAAGTCTTACCACTCAAAATATGAATCCTCGAGCGAAGGCAAAAAAGTAACAGACCAAATGACCTCTACAAGACACAATAGAATAATGAAAATAACACCCACAATCAGGAAACCCCATAAACCTCAAAACATGAAAAAGTATTTACCCTGTGGAGGGCTGTCTAAAAAAATAAAAAAAGACCTGTTCATTATATTTATTCCATTGTTCCTTCCAAGGGGGTCGATGATAATGTCATAATTAGCCATCAGCTGTTCTCAATCGCCATTCTCAGGCAAAGCGTGCGCCATATGGCATTACTGCGCCTGACATACATCTCCGCACCACAGATGGCCTCATTCAATGTAGAGGAGGTCTGGTGTAAAGAGTGTAAAGTGACTGGATTTCTATAGGCTACTACGTCTGAGACGCAGAGAAGCAATTTCACAAACCCTCCCCTCCAAGAGTAATACATGCTGTCAGGTCATCAGCGTCAAAATCTTCTGCATTTAAGTACACACTTGAACACACACTTCACTGCAACCAATAACATCCATTAAGCTAGCTAGTGGAAGTACCGCTCTGATCGGTTAACAATATACAGTTTTACAAATGAGTAAAAGCAATCAGATCAAGAGGTTAAAAGGGTCTGATGTGGTAATGAGAGGGATACCACTATTCTTGGTAGTTTAAATCGAATCCAAATCTATTGGAAATTTCACTCTGCCTTTGAAATGTTCCTATAGTAACAAAAAGGGAAAAGGGTAAACAAAAAGATTATCCCCCAAAAATATAAAACATCATGCCTCATATGTAATTCCTGTGCAATATTTATGCATTTACAGCTCCTCTGCGTTCATCCAGGATCTGCCCAACAAACTCTACAAAATCAAGTAGTTCATTCAAGCCAATGCAACCCCGGCAGGCTGCACAAAACCAAATGCTTAGCCCGGCATAAATTTCAGATCACCACGTTTCCATGGTAAGAAAACACCATCCCTCCGGGAGATCAAGATGTTCACACGGAGAGGTGATCCATGTGTAACTTCCCTCCATTTACATGTTTGTTTTACAAAGTTCTATTCAGTTTACCAGTTTCACTCTGAGCCTTAAAGTAAAGAGTTAAGAGAGGAAAGGCAAGCAGAGCAAACCCGCCGTTCACGCACGTGCTGTAAAGTAGAGAAAAGCCAAGTCTCAAGAGTCACGTCAGATGTTAAAAGTTAAAGCCAGGCTCACTCAGAGTCAAACCGATTAAGATGACCACAAGTGATGATGCTTGTTATTTGTTTTTGTTTCTTTGTGTCTTTCTCTCAATCCTCTCATCAGAAAATATGCTCCTGCCAGGGGGTATTGTCTCCTAAAATGATGAAACAGAAAAAAATATGCACTTAAAATGTTCAGTGAAGAGGGATCTAAAAAATTTGTATTCAATCTAAAAGGAATAGTTCACGCAAAAACGAAAATTTGCTTAAAACCTCTCACTCAGATCATACAAGATGTAGATGGGTTTGTTTCAACAGAACGAATTTGAAGAACTTTTGCATTACATCACTTGCTCACCAATGGATCCGCTGCAGTGAATGGGTGCATCAGAATGAGGGTTTAAATATTTGATAAAACACCACAATAATCCACACTACTCCAGTGAAGCTCAAAGCTGCATGTTTATAATAAACTGTTGCTTCTGAGTAAAATATGAGTTCTCGATCTATAATATCACTTTCTCCAGTGAAAAAAAGTTATCTTGCCTGAATCAGGAGAGAAAAAGCATATATCAAGTACCGTTTACAGTCTTACAAACCCTTTTGCTTCACAAGACTTTAACAGATTGAATGGAGTCGCGTGGAATACTTGTGGATTAATGTGATGTTTTATTCAGCTGTTTCAACTCTCATTCTGACGGCACCCATTCATCTGCAGTGAATGGGTGCCATCAGAATGAGGGTTTAAATATTTGATAAAACACCACAATAATCCACACTACTCCAGTGAAGCTCAAAGCTGCATGTTTATAATAAACTGTTGCTTCTGAGTAAAATATGAGTTCTCGATCTATAATATCACTTTCTCCAGTGAAAAAAAGTTATCTTGCCTGAATCAGGAGAGAAAAAGCATATATCAAGTACCGTTTACAGTCTTACAAACTCTTTTGCTTCACAAGACTTTAACAGATTGAATGGAGTCGCGTGGAATACTTGTGGATTAATGTGATGTTTTTATCAGCTGTTTCAACTCTCATTCTGATGGCACCCATTCACTGCAGAGGATCCATTGGTGAGCAAGTTATGTAAGGCTAAATTTCTCCAAATCTGTTCTGAAGATGAAACAAACTCATCTACATATGGCCTGAAGATGAGTACATTTTCAGCAAATTTTCATTTTTGGGTAAACTATTCCTTTGAAGGAATTGTTCGCTAAAAAGGTTCAAAAACTTGCATGCATTTCTTCTGTGGAACACAAAAGATGTTACTTTGAAATTATACTTTAATGTCCGTACAATCAAAGTCAATGGGGTCATACAGGTTTGGAACAATATAAAGGTGAATGACATGACATTTTAATAAATTTAACTTTTGAATATATTTTAACAAAAAAAACTACTTGAAGGACTAAACTCACCTGAGTCAAAGTGTCATAGCACAAGAACACACGAATCAATCAAAAGGATGCTCAGGGCAGCACGGCTTCACTTTGCTCCATGTGTCAATGCAGCTATTTAGAGAAATATCAGCCATTACATAGGCTATTGAAAGCATTTGTAGCAAATCCTGAAGTGTTTTTTTTTTTTTGGATGGTTATGGTTACCTCTTATGGTAGACACACAGGCAGGCCAGACGAGCGATGGTTTCCCCCTGTAGCAGGTCTTCGAGACAAATTGAACACTCTCCACTGTCCTTAGCTAGCACATCAGCTATTGGACAAGATATGATAGAATTAATATCGAAGATATTAGCAGATGAAACAAAAAAAACAAAATAAATAAATAAAAGCTGCAAGCAGCAATGAAAGGGCCCTCGCACCCGGGCTCATCGCCACCCGGTGGCATTAGGAAAACAGCAAACGGTGGGCAATATGCATTTAAAGTGGTAAATATAGGAGGAATATGTCTAAGTCATTTATATGTGCCAAACTTCCTGCTGCCAGCTGGTGGCACTATGATTATAACTTAATGTTAGCATGTAGATGTCTTCAGGCCAGGACTTTTATCAAACATGTGAAGTCTGGTGCAGATTGAACATGGTATGTTTGAGTTAGTGTAAAGCATGACATTTCCTGTTGCCAGTAGGTGGCGCTATGATTATAATTCAATATTGGCATGTAAATGTTTTCAGGCCAGGACTCATCAAACATGTGAAGTTTGAGGCAAATTGGACATTGTATGCATGAGTTACAACAACTTCCTGTTTGATGGCGTTAATAGCATGCTTTAGGACTTAGCTAAGTGTTGCTAGCATGTTTGAGCATGTTTCTAACATGTTTAGCACACAATGGCATATTTTACTGTGTTGCTAATTGTGCAGCACAGTGTTAAACATGTCACTTCCTGTTGCCATTAGGTGGCGCTATGACTAAAACTGAATCTTTGCATGTAGATGTGTTCAGGCCAGGACAGTCATCAAACAAGTTAAGTTTCGGGCAGATTGGACACTGCATGCCTGAGTTATGTAAACTTCCTATTTCACTGCATTAATAGCATGCTTTAACACTTAGCTAAGTGTTGCTAGCATGTTTGAGCACATTTCTATTATGTTTAGCACACAATGGCATATTTTACTGTGTAGCTAATTGTGCAGCACAGTGTTAAACATGTCACTTCCTGTTGCCAGCAGGTGGCGCTATGACTATAACCGAAAACGGGCACGTAGATGTGTTCAGGACAGGACTCTTATCAAAATTGTTAAATTTGGGGCAGATTGGACACTGCATGCCTGAGTTACAGTAACTTCCTCTTTCACTGCATTAATAGCATGCTTTAACACTTAGCTACGTGTTGCTAGCATGTTTTTTCATGTTAATAGCATGTTGCCAGCCTATGTAACACTTCCTGACGCTTTTTATTATGTTGCTAGGAGTCCATAACTGTGTTAAACATGTCACTTCCTGTTGCCATATTTTCCGGGATTTGTGATATCACAAATATCGACGAATGGGATGAGACATGGTTGAGCTGCACTAGAGAAGGCAACGAGTGTTATCGCTATGTCGGAGACGCGCTAGTTTCCCCAAGGCAGACGAACTTAAGAGTGGTTACAATCATCCGGGTTTAAATCGCGCTCAAACTAATTTGATTTTGACGCAATATTTACACTGACGCTCGCAGGCGGCTATGGTAAGGAGCATGATATTTCCCGACCAGGCGCCAAGTGGTGCCAATCACAACACACACTGGCCCAGCTAACCAATCACAGCACATTTCGTATTTCAGAAGGCGGGCCATCATTTGATACAGGAACTATTCGAGCTGTTCATGCCAGACTGTCTGAGGAGAGAGGCGTTGTAATAATGTAAAATATGTGAAAAATAATGTGTTTTTCGAACAACCTAGTATGAGAGCCTGTTCTAGAACACCCCCAAATCAAAATCAAGACTTTGTAAAAGAGCATAATAGGACCCCTTTAAGTTTCGGGCAGATTGGACACTGCATGCCTGAGTTACATCAACTTCCTGTTTCACTGCATTAATAGCATGCTTTAAACAGGGATCTGAACCAGTTCAAGGAACGAAAGCCGTGAAACAAACGAAATTTTGACAGGAACACAACCAGAAACAGAATCTAATTTTATAGTTCCGAACAGAATCTAAAATTTTAAATGGCCATTAATCAGTTAATAACGTTATTTTATCGTTCCATTTAATATTTGGAAATTTGCTGTCAACCAATCACGAATTCCAGTAGTACGGCCTGTGCAAATGTGACGCTGACGCATCCAACGAGTGAAATGTTCATACTCAAGAACTCATAGGTAAGTCGCAACGCGTGTTAGTTAGTTTGTAAACGTGTTAGTTTATCCGAGGACATTGTAAGATGGATTCAACAGATCACACGCAACTGCAGCGATTCTGTGAACGGAGAAAACAGAATAAAACTATAGGCTTACACAAAAAGGAATATATAGGCATATACACTAAATATATTTCACTTAAATCTTTGACAGATTAACAAAACTAAAGAAATAAAATGTGTGTTACGGTTCATTGTGACGCGTTCCAAAGTTCTCGGAAAGGAAAACGAGATGGCAGAGAGTATTTTCCTTTATTTTAAAAGCTTTACAGTTTTATTTATTTTACGGTTTTAATTATTTTTGCAAAAGCTTGACAGTTTGAATGATGTCTTGCTTCTATCGGTGTATAACCAACCAGCGTTGGTATGATATCGCGCAGGCACCTCACACGCACACACAGACACAACATATTTTTGCGGCATGGGTGTGTTCAGGACAGAACACCTATCAAGCTATCGAGACATTTTGCTACACCCACTTCTGAAACCCATATCAGATGTACATTTTCACCAGTTCTGACGCGTGTGCAAAGTTTCATGAGTTTTGGAGAATGTTTTTTCCTTTATTTTAAAAGCTTTACAGTTTTATTTATTTTACGGTTTTAATTATTTTTGCAAAAGCTTGACAGTTTGAATGATGTCTTGCTTCTATCGGTGTATAACCAACCAGCGTTGGTATGATATCGCGCAGGCACCTCACACGCACACACAGACACAACATATTTTTGCGGCATGGGTATGTGTTCAGGACAGAACACCTATCAAGCTATCGAGACATTTTGCTACACCCACTTCTGAAACCCGTATCAGATGTACATTTTCACCAGTGGCAGATTGGACACTGCATGCCTGAGTTACATCAACTTCCTGTTTCACTGCATTAATAGCATGCTTTAAACAGGGATCTGAACCAGTTCAAGGAACGAAAGCCGTGAAACAAACGAAATTTTGACAGGAACACAACCAGAAACAGAATCTAATTTTATAGTTCCGAACAGAATCTAAAATTTTAAATGGCCATTAATCAGTTAATAACGTTATTTTATCGTTCCATTTAATATTTGGAAATTTGCTGTCAACCAATCACGAATTCCAGTAGTACGGCCTGTGCAAATGTGACGCTGACGCATCCAACGAGTGAAATGTTCATACTCAAGAACTCATAGGTAAGTCGCAACGCGTGTTAGTTAGTTTGTAAACGTGTTAGTTTATCCGAGGACATTGTAAGATGGATTCAACAGATCACACGCAACTGCAGCGATTCTGTGAACGGAGAAAACAGAATAAAACTATAGGCTTACACAAAAAGGAATATATAGGCATATACACGAAATATATTTCACTTAAATCTTTGACAGATTAACAAAACTAAAGAAATAAAATGTGTGTTACGGTTCATTGTGACGCGTTCCAAAGTTCTCGGAAAGGAAAACGAGATGGCAGAGAGTATTTTCCTTTATTTTAAAAGCTTTACAGTTTTATTTATTTTACGGTTTTAATTATTTTTGCAAAAGCTTGACAGTTTGAATGATGTCTTGCTTCTATCGGTGTATAACCAACCAGCGTTGGTATGATATCGCGCAGGCACCTCACACGCACACACAGACACAACATATTTTTGCGGCATGGGTATGTGTTCAGGACAGAACACCTATCAAGCTATCGAGACATTTTGCTACACCCACTTCTGAAACCCATATCAGATGTACATTTTCACCAGTTCTGACGCGTGTGTAAAGTTTCATGAGTTTTGGAGAATGTTTAGGCCCTCAAAAATGCGATTCACTTTGGAGAAGGAGAAGGAGAAGAAGAAGTGGAGCAATTCCAATAGGGTCCTCACACCATCGGTGCTCAGGCCCTAACAATAAAAACAAATGGGATGCTTACTGTTATAAGGGAGAGGTGGAGAAGTCAGACAACTTAAAAGATGGTCCTCAATTCGCCCTCCAGGGAATGGCTTGGTGCAGAAGGGACAACGAATAGCTGGAAAGGAGGGGGAAACTATTAAGCAAGTTGTCTAGCATTGTAAAATGGAGATGCAGAAAGTGTTTTGTGATATGCAGGCCAGTCACAGTAACAGACGGGTGAGTATACACCCATGTGGCCGACATTTCTGAACCCTCTAGCTGGACTATGACCAACTGACCAATATAGTGTAAAAAAAAAAAAAATACAGAGATCATCAGTAAACTGGGTTTACCTTTGGTTATTCGGTTTCAATCCACCATGGATCACCCTGTCAGGAATGCTTGAAATGTCTATAAACCCCAAAGCCTAATTACACCGCAAGCTCATTAGTCTCATGCAGAATCATTAATCTTTGTTAATAACCTTCCATGTTTCATTTGGTTTTAAAACTAAATAATATTGTAAATTCACTCAATTCATTCAGATTGGCTTTTGCCTATAATGTATATAAACATTCAGTAACACTTTACAATAAGGTCCCATTAGTTAAAGCATTAACTAATATTAATAATAAGCAATACATTTGATACAGTTTTCATTACTCTTCAATAAATACTTTAGAATAGTATTGCTAATCCCTGTTATTGAATGCTAACAAATGGACATGTTACCAAACTTTCATTAAGCTAACTAGTTGATGAACGTTTTTGGATTGACTTTTGCATATGGAAAACAAAATGAGATTAATATTAGGGACTTCACTTTCTTTCAATTAAGAGTTCACGGTAAATAGAGATTTCATTCTGTCTAATGTCTTTCGTGAAACAAATATAGATCTGAAACAACATAAGGAGAGTAAACGATTACAAAATTTTTATTCTAAGGTGAACTCTCTCTTTGAATACCATGAAAACCATATAGGATTATTTTGGTTTATCCACAATATATTGCGCGGTTGAGCATTGTTTAGCTATTACTCACTGTGAACAGTGCAGGTTTAAATGACAGAACTGGAGCTGAACAAGGTGTAACGTCTGAAATGACTACCGAGGTACAGTAACGATGAGTCTTTCCACTTACCACCGTGGCGGTTGTTGACCCTGTAGATCCACGCCTCAGACACTGGCCGGGGGTGAGTGCCCCTCACCCGGGCGGACCTGGCTGTGACGCCGCTGGCGGAAGAATGGCGACCACCGGGCAAACGCTCCGAGAAAGTGCGCTGCGGTGCTCGGCCTATTTCCTCCGCGCTCACAGGGCCTCCCGGACTGCCATCCTCCTCTGCCCCGTTCTCGTCCGTCGGCGAGGCCTGGCTGCTCAGAGACGGGGACATGTGGCTGTCGGCGGGGCTGCCGTCGCTGCTCGCCTGCTGCCCAGTGTCCGAGTCACTGCCCTCTTCCGACCGGCTGCGGTTCGTCTCTGAGTCATGGTCGAAGCTGCCGGAGAACTCCACCATGAGGCTAGTGGGCCTGGTGCTTCGGATTCGTCGACAGGACTCTCTCTTGATGCCATCTTTATCGAAAGCAGTCGCGGCAGCCTCCTCTTGTAAACGGCTCGATCTCGTTCCCATGTTCAACCGTGCTCCCTAATCCCGATCGATGGATTACTGATCAGCGAACCTGATTGCTTCCGTCACAGAGCCCTTAGGCCATATGACCATATGCCACATTTATTTCAAATTCGTAAAGATAGCACTGAGATGTGTTGTGTTTTAATTTCTCTTTCAGTTATGACAACAGCCTACCGCATTTTCCTGGCAGGTATGGCCTGTCCTGTGGTCCCTGTTGAACAGCACTCACCATACCGGAAGTTGGCCTCTTTCCTTCTTCGTTCATCCGACCGTGTGACGTCACGCCCTAAATGAACTTTTTATCCAATCACAGAGCAGGCACAGGAATGTTTGAAAAGTATGGGATTTTTGTTTCGTAAGGATTATTTTTATGCTGGGTGTCATTATTAATTGATTATTTTCATTCCTAGTTATATTAGCTACTACAACATCTTAGATTAAATTTATAAATGTATATTTGTTCTTCATTCATTTTTTTTTGTGATTGGCAATATAAACGTCTATATACAGTCATTTCTTTATTCAAAGTGACGAAAGACTAAACATTTAACTTTTTTTAAATTAATGTTCATATTGGGAGACAACAAGCATATTACTGCATATAGCCCAGTAGGCCTATCAGTTTTAGAATTATATCCCAAACATATTTTGTTATTTTTTTAAAACTAATTAAAATTAAAATGACAAAATCCCTACTGTCTCTGAACAAAGCACTGATTTAAATTCAAGTGGGAAACTCTTGCACCATTTTCACTGCATAGAAATCATCCACTGTGGCATTGGATCAAAGAATATGACCAAATATGAAAAACAAATCTGAAGAGTTAATATAGCTGCAAAAAAGTTATTGTTTGTGATATCTGATCTTCTCCCTTATTTGCAGATTAATCTGAAGCTTTTCTGCGTGAGTGTTGCAAGTCCAAACAATACAAGGGTCATGTTTGCTTTTACTGCACCATTAGGTTCCATCTTGCCCCAAACTGTGCAAAATGTACATGCACCATAAAAACATTAGGCATAGGTAGCTATGAAGATGTTGGCAGCTCAAAAGACGCTGTTATTGCTTTGTGTTGGGGTCTCACTGGCACATGATTTCATTACATCAGAACAGTTTAAGAACATTGAGGAAAGGCTGAGAGCCACTGAGGAAACACTGAATGAACTGAAGAGAGAGAATGAAGGTAAGTATCTCTCAGTAATAGTTGTATGAGTTCTCATCTACATCTTATGTATTTTCTGTTTGATCTATTTTCACCTTTACAAGACACGTTGATCTGTTGAATCATTTCCATCCAAGAACACTATAATAAAATTCTGCAATGTTCATTCTGAATAGCTCTAAGGACTATCACAAAAGCCTCAAGGGATGAACTTGAATCTATCCAGGCAGAAAATAAAGGTAAATTAAAATGATTGTTCTATGGTGTTATATTTAAAACCAACTGCAAAACTAAAACAAGTCCACTTACCTTATCACAGCCAAAAAGGTTGCCTTTTCAGCTGGACTTTTGGCATCTGGATCACAACAATTTGGACCTTTTGACACTCGGAAAACTTTGGTGTACCAAAAAATCTTCACTAACACTGGAAATGCATATGACCCCAACACTGGTAACCTGTGCCATTTATATTTCTTTATGTTGTCAATTGTCCATTGTGACTATGGATATTCAAGTAATAAAAGGCATTTCTTTACGGTTACTAAATTCATATGTTTATGTATCTCACAGGTACTTTTACAGCACCAGTGAATGGAGTCTATTTCTTCAGATTTTATGCTCATGCTCACCCTTTTAACCAAATGGCAGTCAGTCTCCATAAAAATAATCAGCTCCAATGCTCTGTATTTGTTCTGAAGCCTGAGACCAATGTTAATGGCAGCAATGGTGTTGTTCTCTCACTGCAGAAGGGTGATGAAGTGTGCACACAACTGTGGGAGAACAGCTGGGTTTTTGACGATGAAAGCAGCTACACTAGCTTCAGCGGTTTTCTGCTTTTCTCTTTGTGAGTGTCCACAGAATCCAGAATTGGATGAAAAAAGATGTTTATGCCACTAGTGTTGTAATGCTAATATCTGTGTGATATTTTCCTCAAAGGAAGAGAACATTGTATGATCTTCAAATAGTGTACCCGGAATGAGAGTCAAACAGTTGATTAAAAACATCAAAATAATCCACAAGTAATCCACATGACTCCAGTCAACGAATTAATGTTTTTTTTTTAAACTTCCAACTGTTGCTAAACATTACGTACCTGAATTTTTATGACAATAAACTTTGATGCAAATGCAGTCTGTTTTCATATGATTTACTTTATTCCTTCTTCATTCAAACATCAGAGCAGTAAAAATTCATAATCGGTTTCACAGTTCACACACCACATGCCGCTCTGAATTACAGTCAGTGTCATTCCACAGACCACTTTTGTAAATAATTGTACAGTCCTCTGCTCCATTATAATCGTTTGGCTCTTTTTCATTCCAGTTGGTGAAAGTTAATGGTTGGTCACTCATATCCACAAAATGCCCTTCTTTCTTTCTGTCTGTTGCACCAACATATATGGAAGTACTCAAGGGCAGCTTGCATTGAAGTTAGAACTTTATTCTCATCTTCACTTCTTGGCAGGACAATTTTAGCCCCAGCGTCAGAGCAGAACTTCTGTGCCTTTTCAAAATTTCCCACCAGCCCATCAGACACGTAATATTTCTGGCCCACATTCCTGAACATGCGAAATCCTAGGACTAAACTTTTTTATTTTTAAAAAGCATTATCTTAAATATATACATATTCTTACACATATAAACAAAACATGCATAGTGCAGTCATTGTTTATGTAGGAGAATTCTACCTTTCTCAACTACAGTGAGTCTGTCTGTTAGGTTTTTGACATCGGATTGAAGCTGTATTACTAATGCACTTTGAACACCAGCACTTTGAAAATCACAAGCATCAGAAGAAAATACCAAGAAGCATATTTTTCTTGAACCTTATGCAATTGCTGTATAAACTCAATTAAGATATGGTTAAAAGACAATACTTGATCACAGTCTACTGTAGAACTTCATCAGTATTTATTTATAGTTTGACTTTTTTTCTTTTTCATTCTAGACACCTTGCTTGAATAAATATTTTTTTAAATATAAAAGTTTCAAATTAATCTTGATTTTCTGCTTAATAATTATATATAATAACTCACTTTAATAAATAATAATTCACTGTGCTTTAATTTTACCTGGTGGACCTGGATTCCCTTGGTGTCCTTGAGGGCCAGCAACACCAGGTGGTCCTATTTTCCCTGGGGGTCCCTGTGCACCAACTCCTGCAGAGTAAGAGTGATGATTAAATCTCATTTCTCTGATCTGCAGTCACCTTACCTTTCAGCATTATGTTCTACAGCTACATCAAACTTTATGACTTAACACACCAACAACTAAAAGCACAAACCTGGATCTCCTTTTTCTCCATTTGGTCCAGGAAACCCGTCTCTTCCATCTCTGCCAGGGCTGCCGTTGTGTCCAGGTGAGCCTGGCACCCCAGCATTAGCTGGACAACTAGTTTGAGCTGCAGCAAGCACCATAAACTCCATAAGGAGCAGCACAGCACAGATCTGATGCTTTAACAGCGCCATCTACTGTTCACTGTGGACACAATCAGGATTTCTTTTGCCGCAGTGTTGCATTCAGACATCAGAGAATACGCACCCTCGAGTCCAAATGAAAATATTTTTACAGTTTATACAATTATTTTCACTATTTAAAAATAATTTTCACCTCGTAAAAATGTAATTTCACTCAGATTTTGACGATATTTAATAACAACGAGGTTTGATATTAATTTTGATTTCAAACAAGTTCACAACGGAAAGTATAAGGAAGGTAAACAACAAGTGTAACGTTTTTTTCCTCACATTTTCAATTATATATTGAATATTAAAAGGCATTCTGCCCAACAGTGGTCTCAAATCAAAATAAAATATAAAATATTATGACATACTAAAATACTGAAACTGGACAACAAAACAAACTACTGGCATGTCTACTTCTCTCTTTTGTTTACTGCTTTTAAAAAATCCTTACCAGAAGCATATCAATCTTACCAACAGATCAGGCCTGGCGATTAGCACTAAAAGAGAACACGACTCTAGAAAACCCTTCACCAAATTTCAGTGACGTAGGTACCCAGAGTTCAATGACAAAACAAAGAGAAACAAATACTGTATAATTTTACTAGTTTTCAACCTGTATATGTTAGTCACATATGTTGTCCTGTAATTTATGTGCAACTTACAATGATTGTTTTTGCACTGAAAAACCGCATAGCCTACTTTGATTCATGACCTTATAATCGAGAGTTTTTCTAAAGCAAATGAACAGTTTGAACAACTGAAAGAACGCAAGGACATCAAATGTTTGAGCTCCTGAACTCCTGAACTGAAAGAAACTTTTCTTACTAACCCATTTAGCTATCTGTTATAGAAAAAAACACTTTTGGAGTCACTTTAAGTTCTGTTTACGTTGTGAAGGGCTCAATTCCTCTGCATGATTGAATGCAGTTAATTATTGCTTACATTTGTGGTCATGGTTCATTATTATGTATCTTATCAGTATTTTGAATTGGTTTTGATCCTAAAGTGACACCTCTGTGAAAAAAGAACTGTTTGTAGTTGTCCATTAACTTTAACATTAAATTAATACTACAAGTAAGTAACTAAGAAATCACAATATCAATATTATCACTTATTATCTTGATTTGTGCAAAATATAGGCTATATGAACCATATTTAAATATGCACTCCGTAAAAATATGGTCGGTACTGATTTTTTGGTGGTGTTTTCCTTGTATTGTCAATTACACTTTGTATTGTGTTGTAGGGTTAAAGGAAACATGTGTAAACTTAACAGAAATGTAGAAAATTATCAATAACTTTTCCATTTGTCTATTTTTCTTCTTATAGTGTAGAAGTAATTTGATGAATCCAAATATATCTAGATGTCCAAACACAAAAAAATAATTGATTTGATGCATTTTATATAAAACAACAAGATCCAATGTTTAAATAAATGTTAATGATTGATTTTCTTTCTCAGGATAACCAGGAGTGAAATTGAAGCTTTGCTTATGCAGAAGGCAAAGGCTAAATTGTAGCCAAACCATAACATTTTTACTCACAATTTAAGTATGAAACTAAATAATTACTTTAAATGTTCTCCGAAATGTATTACATTTGTAGTTCACACACCACGTGCCACTCTGAGTTACACTTAACGTCGTTCCATTCACCATCTGTTAAGATGGCAACACAGTCCTCACTTCCATGA